CGGGGTAGATAGCCTTCGGGGAGTGCGATAGACTGGTGAAGCGGGGCGCGATGGGAAAAAAGTAGTAATGGTGATGGCGGGAGTGCCGGGTGGGTGGGGGGGGGCGAGGTTGCAATCTCCATCGACGCGACTCCGACGAGCCGCTTGGACCACGGGCGCGAGAACTTGTCCCAAGGGTGCACGGTCAGCTGCAGGTCGGGCTCCGGGCCTGCGGGGCCAGAAGGGGGGCAGGAGCTGTGGATGGGGCAGGAGCTGTGGGGAGGAGCTGTGGGGAGGAGCTGTGGGAGGTGCAGTGAGGCGAGGCGGCGGGGCGAGGCAGAGGCGAGGAGAGAGGCAGAGGCGAGGAGAGAGGCAGTGGCGAGGTAGAGGCGAGGAGAGGTAGAGGCAGAGGCGGGGCAGAGGCAGAGGCGAGGTAGAGGCAGAGGCGGGGGAGAGGCAGAGGCGAGGAGAGGTAGAGGCAGAGGCGGGGCGAGGCAGAGGCGAGGTCGAGGCAGCGAGAGTCCCACATCGCGCCGCACCTTTGGCGTAGGGAGAGCGGAGGAAGGCGCCAACCGACATGCCGGGCGAACCGAGCGACGAGTTTGACCGGTGGCCTGGCAGCAGCAGCACGACGGAGGGTGGTGAGGAGCACACCGATGCGGCGAGTGACGGGTTGGGCCGGTGTGGTATGTATATGCCTACAGCAGGTGGAGGACGGCGCTGGCACCACCAGGAGCAGAGGCGAGGCACGAGCTGGAGGTGCTGGCCTGCGGCGTACATGGCGCGCTGCTGCGCGCAATAGTCTGCGTGCGGCTGGTCCTCCTCCGCCTGATAAGAAGGCGGAGACCGACGGTCTAGTAACAGTAGCAGCCTGCCTGCGCGTCCCACGGAGGCGTCAGCGGCACACGGCGAGGCGCCTTGTTTTGCCGGCGCTTGAAACCTCGCTGTATCGGGGCTGCATCTCGGGCTGCATCTCGGGCTGCATCTGCATCTCGGAATGCATCTCGGCTGCATCTCGGGCTGCATCTCGGAATGCATCTCGGGCTGCATCTCGGAATGCATCTCGGCTGCATCTCGGAATGCATCTCGGCTGCATCTCGGGCTGCATCTCGGCTATATCTCGGGCTGCATCTCCGCCTGGGTGCCGAGCCGACACTTGAAGAAGTTTCGCTTGCGCGTCGCCCACTGCATGATGGCGTAGACGCCTGAGATATAGCCGAGATGCATGATGGCGTAGACGCCTGACCGCACGCCGTCGAGGCCTCCTCGCAGGGAGGAGGGGGAGGGGGAGG